GGCGGGGGAAGAAGAACAAACTGGGGAGGAGGGTGGAGAAAATAGTGTAACAATAAATGAATGAAACCCCCCCCCCAAAAAAAAGCGTGGTCATCTAAAGCTTAAGAATTGGTCTCTTTAGAGCAAAGAACAGCAAAGGAAATCAAAGGTGCATGGAGACAATTAGAACAGAGGACTGGAGGGATGTGTAGACCCTGAAGAGCTAGACGGTTCCCAGGTACTACATCAACCGACTGCCCCTCAGGGGATCACACTGAAGGCCTAGGATAAGTGGGAGGGGAAAAGTGGAGCAAATTCAGAATTACAGAAAGACCAGACCGAGGGGTGAGAGAGAGAATGGTGGACCCCAGAGGTCATGATCCTTAGATACCCTCAGGCCAGGAACAGAACTCCTTCAACACAGCTCTGTCCTCAGCCAAACAACAGACAGGTCTACCAGGAACACCAAAGACCAAAAGGGAAGCATGTGCCCAATGGCACAAAGGAGGATGGAGGGAAGGCCCCGGGAGCAGGACGGGTGAGTGATGTTAACTTCATGGAACTGCAACTGCAAACATCAAATAAAATGTGCATTAAATGGAAAACTGGCCTCTGTAATTGCTCATCTAAATCACAATAAAAGAGAGACAAGGAGACAGAGGTGGCCTGCTGATGAGGAAACTTCCCCATCCCCCTCCAGTCTACCCACCCCAATGGGGCGACCGCTGCTACGCCCGCCCTCACCTACAATGAGGTAAGCTTGACACTGACAATGGCTGCTAGGTGCTCTGGAGAGATTTTCAGTTCAACAGCCCCACTCTGTTTCCTTGCCCGTTACCCTTACAGAACTAGACTGCCAGGTCTTCCCTCCAGAAACCCACTGGGTGGATCTGAACCACCAAACTTTTGGTTCATTAGCAGCATGTTTAACCATCTCACCACCAGGGTTCTCTGTATAAATGGTAACATACAACACAGACGCTTGTGTTTCCCTGACTCAAGTGTTGTCAGCGTGACTCAGGCGTGCCTCACTCGCTTCCTGGCTGTAGTGCGTTCGTGGATGAAAACACGAGTGAATTCATCCATTCTGTTGTTAATGGGCATTTGGGCTGTTGTTGATATAACATATATCGGGTGTTGAGCAAATTTATTTAGTAGAATTGGAACTCGCAAAGCTAACAGGGCAGGAAGACAAGTCAAATATTCAGAACAAGGAACCCTGAACGCCTGAGATTTCTCAGTAACTATATGTCTGACAGGAACGCTGCTGGTACAGTGCTGACGTGCTGGCCCGCTGATGGGTCCGTGGTTGGAACTCTGCCCTGTGGGAGAAGGATGAGGCGCCCAAGTGCCTCACAGCCTCTGAAGCTCTCGAAGCAGTTCCACTTGCCCTGTTGGGTTGCAATGAATTGGAACCAGCTCACAGCTTGGTGAGGATACACCATGCACATCTGAGGGTTCCTTGTTGATGACAGGTGGCATCATGGCCCAGTTCTAGGAGATATTTTAAATAACCTCAGGAAGGTGGCTCCAACCTCCAACCCAAAGGCAGACAGTCCGAGTTCACCAACTGCTCTGTGGGGGAAAGATGAGCAGTTGTTTCCTGTGCGATTTACAGCCTCTGGAAAACTGCGTGAGGGTCAGACCGCTGAGGGTTGGTTCTGACTCGGCCGCACATAACAACAAGGAAAATGGCACATTTTCTTGACACAACCGTGATTGCTGCTTCTGTGAGCATCGCTTGTGGATCCAAATAGAATTAAATCACTGACGACATCAATCTGCTGTCAAGGACCTCTCCAAAGTGCCAACACTGGGAGCTCTGGTGGCCTAGTGGAAAGGAGCTGCAACTACAATCCCAGAGGCGCACGGTTTGAATCCACCAGATGCTCTGCCGGGGGAAGGAGGAACAATCTCCTCCTGTACCAGTCAGATTTGATTTGACGGTACACTCACACAAAAATAATAAAATTAAAAAAAATAAAAAAACAACAAAAAAAACCCAAAGTGCCAACACTGTCAACAACTAACAAGTGCAACCATGTCAGCTCAAAGACCACCGTGAGGCTGACCCAAGTCATGGTCCCCTCAACTGCTTCTCATGCATCTGAAAGCTGGACAATGAATACAGATGACAATCTTTGAATACCCCTTTGAGCTGGGGAATTAGAGAAGAGCAGGAAATGTTAAGTATAAGCATGTGTGTCTTGGAGAAAGTGCAACCAAGGCGCTCCTTAGAGGTCAGGATGGCGGGACATGGTCTCACATACTCCAGTCATGTTATCAGAAGGGATAAGTCGTTGGGAAAAGGCATCATGCTGGGAGGGGAGGAGGGTGAGAGGAAGAGAGGAGGACTCAGTAAGATGGACTGGCACAGTGACCGCAGCAATGGCTGTGACTATGTCAGAGATGGGAAGGAGGGGACGGAATGGGGCAAGGTTCAGACCTGTTGTGCACAGGGTCACAGCAATGAGTCACAGTTGCCTGGATGACCCCTAACAAGAAGGAAAGCAGCAACACGGCCACGTTCCGGGAGAACAAGTATTTTGAGATGCACAGGCTCCTGGAAAAGCCGCCTGGAATCCCTGGAGGGACTGAGGGAGCAGATAACACAGAGGAAACGCACGATCTGGAAGGGGCCAGGGCCTTGTGAAACACTATTCCTAGAACTCAACGACCCAGGATCTCACAGTCATCATTTCCTCATCAACCTCCCTGCTGGGGACAGGGAAAGAGGAAGGGGAGGGCACAGGCTGGCCTGGGGACTGCAAGTTTCCCTTTCTAGGCCTGCACTCTCTCCTCCCTCAACATACAGATAAAACCCTAGGTGCCCAGCTTACATGGAAAAGCCAAGCAGATGCCTTGCACCCAGGAAGCACTGGAACCAGCCCACTCCACAGGTTCCTCTTCTCGCTGGGAGCTTTCCTGGAGTCAATACCAGCTTCCTGAGTCAATCCAATTCTCTTTATTATGCAAGAGTCACTGTTAATCCTGAGAGGTACATTTCACAATGGAGGCATTCTCCCCCAATCTCAAGGCCTAATTCAAGTTGAACCAAATCAGCTGCTGGCTTTGTGCCCAAATCAAGTGGCTGGGAGGTGTGTTTCAGGCCTGGGGCTCCAGGATCTGCCCCTGCCCACCCTGTTCTCCTTAGTCTCATTCCTTCTTGCCCACCAAGACCACACCAAATCCATTTCTGTACAGTAGACTGAGAGACTTGAAAAGAATATAAATGCAGTCATGTCTCTCTCTCACTACAGTAATTTCTGTGACCCAACAAGTCCACTTAGAGGCTTATACCCAAGAACATTGAAAGCAGAATCTCAAACAGATAGATCAACACAAGGCCCACAACAGCAGGATTCACAATCACTGAAAGGTAGAAACAGCCCAGGCATCCATCATTAGTTACCGGCTGCAGAGAAGGTGACTGCAACTCCTATTAATCCCTTGTACATCAATCCTAAGTACAACATCAATCTCAAGCACAATATCAGTCCAACGCACAACATCAATCCCATGCACATCATCCCATGCACAATATAAAGCCCATGCACATCAGTCTCACATACATCAATTCCACGTACCACAATCCTACGCATATCAACCCCACATACGACAATTCCATGTACAACAATCCTATACCCAACATCAATCCCATGCACACCAATCCCACGTACAACAGGACAAAAGTAAGTAGATCCTCTGCCCTCCCCACAACGTCTGCTGTGCTTAAGTGTGTTACTATCTCAATCCATTTCATCGAAGATCTTCCTCTTCTGTCGACATTCTACTTTCTCAGGCACGCTGTCCTTCTCCAGGGACAACTCCCCCAATAAAATGCCCAAAGTATGAGACAGAGTCTTGCCATCCCTGGTTCTGAAGGACACCTGCTTTATATCTTCAAGTAAGATTTTTAAAAAAGTAACAGCTCCTTAATATCAAGTGTTCAGTTCTCAAAACTCCACTTGTCTCGAATGCTGACCTTTAACTTCTTATTTGATCAAAATCAAAGCTAACACAGTGTGGCTGAAAAGAAACAATCAACCCTGAATCATCATTGATGGGTCCTGACTCATAGCTGAAGCTGGTTTTGTTCCAGCCACATTTTTAAAAGATTTCTTAAGACTTTTGAAGTAGTCTCCTAATCTATAGGTTCACCCTCCATTCTCTACTCTCCCAACCCTTGCGATTTATTTGTTGAAGAAAATATTCTCTTGATTATTTACTTTGTCACATGTTTATGCACTCTGGTGGTATATGTGCTTATGTGTATAAAACCATAATTTATTTTTTAAAAAGTTTTGGGATACAGGTAGATGTTTCTCAGGGGTAGGAAGGCATCTGAGACTGATGAGTGTCAGGATTTTCAATTGTGTCCTATGCGTGTGACAACCAGACAACGAAGGAAAACTGAGGAAGCAGATCTGCCACGGAGGAAGTCTGACCAGGTGCTCCTTGAAAGGGAGGATGCGGAGACGTCAGAGCACGTACTTCGGGAATGTGGTCAGGAGGGGCTGGGCTGGGAAAGGTGGACGGTCAGAGGGGAAAGAGATGACCTTCAAGGAGATGGACTGACACTAGGACCATAACAACGTGGGCGGTGAAGATGGCACCGTGACAGTGGGTCCACGCACAGTGGGTGGTGAGGGTGATGGTGGGTTTGCGCACAGTGGGTGGTGAGGGTGATGGTGGGTTTGCGCACAGTGGGTGGTGAGGGTGACAGTGGGTCCGTGCACAGTGGGCGGTTAGGGTGGCGCCGTGTCGGTGGGTCCGGGCACAGTGGGCGGTGAGGGTGATGGTGGGTCCACGCACAGTGGACACTGAGGATAGTGCAGGATCTCGTAGGGCTCACGTCTGTTTTATGCAGCGTGATAGGACTTGGACCCAACTCAATAGAACCCAACAACAGGAAGATCAATGGGCCCGACCCAGCACACTGCTCACCTCCCTTCATCACACCACTCCAAGCTGTCACCAGACCACAGGCCTTTGTTATGGGTAAGACTGAAAATCTGCAGCCCCTGATGTCACAAGTGGTTAAGCTCAGCTACCAGCTGCAAGGTCAGTGGTTTGAATCCAACCAGAGGCACCTAGGAAGAAATGACTGGCCACCCGCTCCTGTGAGGATCTCAGCCTTGAAAACCTGTGCTGCAGTTCTGCTCAGCACACAGTAGCTGTGAGCTGAGGGGGATGTGGTGGACAGACAGACACCATGACAGCAGTTACGGGCTCGAGCACAGCAGAGATGGAGGCCGTGGCACAGGGGCCAGTGGGTGCTGTCTGGGGTGTGTGTGGTCACTATAGATTGGAGCTGACTTCATGGCACTTAACAACGAGGACAGCCAACAACCTCAGTTTCACACCACCTGTTGCAGTGGTCCAGTAGCCAAGGAATTGCACTACCAACACAAAGGTGGGCAGTTCAAATCCACCAGCTACTTGGAGGTGAAAAGACTGACAATTTACATTACAGGCTGTGAAAACAAGCTGAGGGTCAGCTCAGAGTTGGCTCCGACTATGTGGGCTATGATGGGTGTGAGCCCCTCCCACCCCGGGGCAACAGGAGTGCATACACGTAAAAACCCTGAGTTTGTTTTTTGAAAGTGTCGTGTTGAGTATACATGTGAAAGTCCTCACCATCCCTGAACCACTGTAGGTATTGGACATGGGTCACTCCTCTGCCCTCCTGACGCCCCTCTCCATCTCTGCCTGCTCCCCCTTGTGTTCTCTTCTGCCCCGTCTGTCTGTCCTTCTCTCCTCTCCTTTTAGGTGAAGCAGGTACTTCCCTACTTGCTGACTTCCAGCCTCTGGGCCTGGTGACCCCTCCCATCTCTCCCTGGGGTGGTACCCCATCTTCACAAGTCTGAGAACCATCATCTGGCGCCACCCTGCCTCTCCCTCACCCCTTATCACCACTCCTCAGCTTTCTCCAGAAGTCCCTCCACCCAGGGCCACCTGCCTTGCTCACACCTATGGCCAGGTGAGGCCTAATTCCCCTGGCCCGGGACAGGCAGACACTGCTGCTTCCTCTCCTTGGGACCCATGAGGCCACCTGCCTGGCCTCTCCCCTAGGACCGGCCCTACGCCAGAACAGCCAATACCGGGAGTCTGGGCCTGGTGCCAGCTTGGAAAATTGCCAGAAGAGCCCGGCCTCCTATCGTCCTCTGGAGCGTGTATTGGCTTGACTGTGTAGGTTCAAATTGCAATGGCTGGACCAGGCAAGGCCTGGGTTCAAATCCCAATCCTCCCTGCAGGAGGGATCACATTATACTTGAGAAACCTAGTCCCCATCCGGGCGCTGACCCCACTGGGCTGTGGGGTCTTCGGTGAGGTAGCTCTCCTCTCTGCTCTAGGCTTCAAATGAACGGGGTGGGGAACATGAGTAGAGCCTGGGGATTGAGGAGGAGAAGAGCTCTGCTTTCAAAGTCAATACGGGGCTAGAGAAGCTAAAGTGTGCCTGCAGTGCCGTGGGCTCTGAGCACTGCTCACACCGCCCACACCTGCTGCTCCCCGTGGGGAGGGCCGATTCTGAGGGGAGTGACCGTGGTTTGGCCCAGCGCTTGCGTAAGTCCGAGCTCTGAGCTCCTCCAGGCTAAGTGGACCATAATCCACATATCAGGGGCTGGTTTCGAGGGTGAAATCGAACACTGTTCCGAATGGATCCGGTCCAGGGATGTATGCTCCAGGGAAAGTTCCAGAAGTGAGTAACAGCCTGAAGAAGTAACCCCAGCAGAGGACGGTTCTTGTGGGGACTCTGCCTTGTCAGGGACCTTCACTTACTTAACCATCTCTGAGAAGTGGTGTTTCCATAGTGGGTCTCAAAGTTGCAAAAAACCCTTAGAAGTGTGTTTTAAGTGAATGGTGCCATACAAGTCGGAGAACTGTGACGCTGACCAAAACCAGCCCTGATTGTGTCTGGACCACGGGCTGCTGTCTGGCCAGTTCTGACTGTGGGGATCCTGTGGTGTCGCTGAGACTGTCACCTTTACAGAAACATACTGCACTATCTTTCTCCCAAGGAGTTCAAAACCTAGGTGCTTTTGAACCTATAACCTTTTGGTTAGCAATCAGACGCCTTAACCACAATGCCACAAAAGTGGCCAGTCTCATGTAAAACAACTAAGGGCGTCACATGCCCTGCCCATGTAGCTCAGGGCTGACAGAGCCCTGTCCTTTCACAGCTGGCCAGTCCCTGTCTGTCCACAGTCTGACCACCTGCTGGAGGGATTTGTGTGGTTAAGGGGAAGCGGAGGGTTGTAAAGAAGGTGGGGGAGTTCTGGGAGACCCCTCTTTGCTGGGGGGCCAGCCTGACATCCAGAGTGAGAAGCTCCACAACTTGCCTCCGTAAAGGAAAATCACTCCATCACATTGTGACAGGCAGACCACAGAGATATTCTGGATTCTGTCCTGTACCAGCAAACCCCATATAAAGCAAGAAAGATGGATGCAACGCAGAGCTACTATGTCCCAAGTAATAGATCTATACGCAGCCATTTCAGAAGGTATTGCTGCATCAAAGGATTCAAGCTGCCCCAATCAAGAACCCCAGGCTCTGGAAACGGCAAGGACAGCAGCTGAGATGGTCCAACAAAGGGATGCAGTGCTGGGGGCGCTCACTCATCTCTGGCAAGGCATTTACAAGACAGCTATCTAGCAGTCACTAGAAAAGTTCCCTCATCTCAGCCATGCCAAATCGCCAGGCAGGGTCACCCACAGCACATTCAAGTATGAGCTCTGCTGAAGAGAAGCCAAGAACAGCGGCAGCAGTCAGTGAACTGACAGAAACACAAGCAGTTTTAGAAGAGGAGGTGGAATGAGCAATGTCATTGCTGATGACATCAATGACATCGATGACTACTGGCTGAAAGGATGCCAGACTGATGTTTATCTGCATTTTATTGACTATGCAAAGAAAGACATTCAATGGAGTAGATCAAAGCAAGATACAGAGAACACTGTAAAAAACTAACTGCAGAACACTTAACTGTGCCCGTGTGAGATTTACACAAAGAACAGAACGAGGAGATACGTGGTTTGTAAACCAGGGTGTGGCAGGGTTGTATCTTTTCACCACAGTGACATAATTTGTATGCTGAGCAAATAATTTAAGAAGTTGGACTATGTGAAGATGACCGTGGCATCAGGATTGGAGGAAGACTCATCAACAACCTGTAACAGGCAAATTATGACAACTTGGTTTGATGAAAGTGAAAAGCCCTTGATGAGAATCAGACTCCCGTCATCAGTAAGGCTTACAATTGGACAAAACAAAAACCCTCACAGCTGGACCATGGAGTAACATCATGACAAACAGAAATTATTAAAGTTGTCCGAGATGTCACTTTTCCTGGACTCACAACACCTGTGGAAGGGGCCGTCAGGAATCCAATGACACAGGGCAGTGGGGCTTCTGTAAAGGACGAGAAGCCTGGGAGTCCCTGGGGCTGCTGCCTCACAGGCTGTAGACCTGCGTGAAAAAGAGACTGTCCAGCTTTCTGCCAGGAGAGGCTGCTGCATTTGATCTACTGACCTTTCACGTGGCAGCCTGATAGACAAAAGTACGTACTACTCCACCAGGGCTCAATGAAGACAGTGAAGAAAAGAAAACTAGACCAGAAATATCTCAGGAAAAAATCCAAAGGCAGAGAAACGTTAAAATGTTGTATTCACATACTGCTGAGCAGGGTTCCTGTCCTTCACACATAATGAACTCAGGCAAACAGAAGTTTATAAGACTGGGAAAGAGTGAAGGACATGACCTGATGTCCTGATGAGATTTCAGTGGTTAATAAGCATGTCAGTGGAGGGAAGGATGGAAACATGGGTTCATATCACTGTGGTAAACACAGAAAATCAACAGCAGATTAGCCTAGGCTGGGCTGCTGTTACCTGTTATGGTGCAGTCAGTCCCTGCCTGCGAGGTGGGGAGACAAGAGGCCAACTTCTGAGCATCACCTGGGGACAGCGAAGCAAGATTCAGCAAAAGGACACAAAACACAGAGCACAGAAGAAAAAGCAAAAACTGCATTTCTAAAATGGGTGAGTTAATGCACCACATTAAAGACCGGAGATTTGTGTGTGTGTGTGTGTGTGTGTGTGTGTGTGAACATCACCGTGTGTGTGCACATGTGCAGCGTTCAAGACCTGTGTTGAAGATATGCCTTGACTTTGCATGTGCACACTGGGCACCTCTTGGTGTATGTGTGTATGTGCAAGTTTTGGGGGGGATGCATGCGTGTGCAAGCTTCACATTCATGGGGGGGCGTTTATGTGCACAAGTCTCATTTATAGATGTGTGTATTCACACAAGTCTCACGTTTATAGGTGTGTATGTGTGAGTGGTGAGAATACCACTGGACCAACAGGCAACATTATGAGAGATGGAGAAAAATGTGAAACTCAACAACTTCATCTTATTCAGATCCACAATTAAATACCTTTGTTACCAGCAGTCAGGAAATCAGGAGATGTACTGTACTGGCAAAGTCTGCAGTTAGGGACCTCTCCAGATTATTAAGTAGTAATGAGTTTGAGATCTAAGGTGCATCTGGCCCAGGATATGGTCTTTCTGGTCACTTGCTATGCATCTGAGTGAGAGCTGGACAGTGAATAAGGGTAATAGATGAAGAATTGATGCCTTTGAGCTGTGGTGTTGGAGGAAAAGTGCTGACCATCCCATGGTTGGAGGAAAAGTGCTGACCATCCCATGGACGGCCAAAAGAAACAAAGATGTCTTGGAGAGGGTCCAGCCAGAGTGCTCTTTGGAGGCAAAGATGATGAGGTTTCACCTCACATACTTCAGATATATTGCTAGGAGGGGCTGTTTCTTGGAGAGGGATATGATGCTCAGAAAGGTGGAGGGCTGGTGAAGGAAAAGGAAGACCCTCGATCGGGTGGACTGACACGTGGTGACTGCTGCAATGGGCTCTAATGTGTCAGGAAGTGTGAGGATGG